GTGCTTTTTAAATCACTTTCCTGTGGCCTTTAACCTGTAAAGATTACATTTTTGGGAAACTGCAGAGGACAAGCCTGCTGTCAGAGCAGAAAATCAGATTTTTTGATGTGATGTTGTTGCATTAAGGGGGCCAATCTCGTGTCATGTAACATGTGGCGCCGGGGGCGAGCATGTGATGTCAAAAATCGCCGAGCGGCTCATAAATAAGGGCCGGGCCGGCGCTCCCCCCGGCCGCCGCTGAAAGGTCACCCTGCTTGAACCTGCCCTTGCATCCCCAGTGCGAGCGCCAGCCACGGCTGCAGGGGCAGGTCCCCTTGCAAGGGCCCGCGCGGTGCCCCTGCCCGCGGGGTGAGTGAGCGGCTGCCCCCTGCCAGGGCTCTGCTGTCACTGTGCGGCGCCAGGTCTGCGGCACTGAGGGGCGGCCGTGCGCGCCGTGCCCATGGCCATGCCCATGGCCATGTCTGTGCCCATGGCCATGCCCGTGTCCGTGCCTGTGCCCATGGCCATGCCCATGGCCATGCCCATGTCCGTGCCTGTGCCCGTGTCCATGGCCATGCCCGTGTCGGTGCCTGTGTCTATGCCCATGCCCATGGTCATGCCCGTGCCTGTGTCTGTACCCGTGCCCATGTCTGTACCCGTGCCCGTGTCTGTGCCCATGCCCGTGCCCGTGTCTGTGTCCGTGCCCGTGTCTGTGCCTGTGTTTGTGCCCATGGCGGTGCCACCATCGCCATGTGCATCCAGTTCCTCCGCCCCCACGCAGAACCAACTCTTCTCAGGAGGAGATTGGGGTGTTTTCCCCACTTGTGAAGTGAGTTGTTCATAGGGTTTAAAGGCAGATGAAATTGCAGGTTAACCGTGTTTGTGCCCAGGGTCACGACGGCAGCGACACGGGTCGGTGTGGGGCACAGGTCGCTTACCCAGGCTGCTGCCTTCCAGCCAGCAGCTGATTTAGTTGTTCTGTGCCTACCCGGAGCGTCTCGGCCTCCTGCAGAAAACACCAAAGTCGCTTTAATCGGAGTGTCCGGGACAGCACCTGTGCAGCACAGACACAAATTAAGGTTGAATGAGGCACCTTTAATTGTGGACTTTTCTAGCTCCTTGCAACTTTACCATTTGCTACTTTTGCCCCTCAAATTGTTTTGCTAGGAAGACTGAAAGGATCGCTGAGTGTGTTTGCAGGCATTTTTGCTTTCCGGAGCGCAGCGGTTTGGAGCCGCGGCTGCCCCGGGGAGCAGCGGGGAGCGTGGCCGCCGCGCAGGCAGCAGCAGGGCCGCGCTGCTGCAGCCCTGCTCTGTTTAGGTGACGATCGATTAAGGGATTTTCATAGTATCTCTTGGCACACATTTGCACGTGCTGATTACACTAGATGACCAGCCTGAGCCCATCACGTCAGATCAGTGTGCAGCCACGTCCAGTGTGTTCATAAAGTGTCGGCCTGCCCAATAGCGCGAGTGCCGGAGGCGCTCCGAGGGAAGGGGCCGGGGGCTCTGCTGTGCTCTGGGAACCTCAGGGCTCGTGTCTTCCTCGTGCTCCTCTCGTCTGCCTCGCAGCAGGGTTTCCTTTCCGAAGGGCCTTCCCCTGTGCTGGTGAAACGCCGCCGGCTCGGGGCCCGGCGGGTGTGCGCAGAGGTCGCTCCTGGGAGCAGATCTGCAGCGTGGCTCCCGCTCCAGCAAGAGCTCGTCTTCTCCTTGCCGTGACATCCCTCCCGTCTGCGTGGTCAGGTAACGGGGTAGAGCAGCTCAGCACAGACAAGCTGTATCCACGGGTACTTAAAGGAAAGCAACGAGGATTTTGCAGGGATGCCCGGGCCGAGCTCCATGTTGTGTCCTCGCTTGCAGGAGCTGCCGCCACAGACCGTGTTGCAGAGCAGGGGGCTCCCCTTAACTCCTCAGCTTTCCTTTCAGTTTGCTAATTCGCTTTTAATCCCGCTGGCCTTGGCTTCTCCCTTAGCCTTGGGTTTTACCTCGCCAAGACGGGCCATCAGCCTCTGCCCGGCCTCTCCCCAGCGCGCGCGAGGCCGCACGGCACCGGCCCCGGGGCACCTCCAGCATCTGGAAGCACTTACGGGCAGCGGCCGTGCAAACCCGAAAGGGAAAGTGCATTTAGCATTAATAAAACTTCCCTTTTTGTTGTGTCCACGGTTGTCTTTTCCTTTTGCAGCTCACATTATTCTGTTGATTTAATATTGCTGATTTCTGTGGGCGGAGGTGGGGGAAAGGGCCTCTGGTTCCTGCGGAAAGGTCGTCGGAGTCGCTTGCCTGGTCAGGACACATTTTCTTAGAGGAACAAGTATCAGGAGAAAGAATGGAAAACTTCCTGCGTGTTCGTTAAAGAAAATACAATATAGGGGTGTTTTGCGACAAAATGGTAATTCTGGGTAATGCCTCAGGTGTCTCCATGACAGATGGAGCAATATTGAAATAAAGTGTCATGGGACAGTTCACAGAGACCAGGACACATCTCACTAACTCGAGTGCCCCCTGATTCAGGAATAGCTAAATGTGCCACTGCTGCCACCGAGTCCTGGCTGCTGCCGCCATGTGCAGAATTCCATGGTTCTAGAATTCCAGAGGGAGAGGAGACCGAACCGTAGGCAGAAACGAAGGGGTTTGTTGTGGAGAACCTTGTCCGAGGAAGGGGAGCACTGCGAGCTCGACCGCACGGGGCCTGGTGGAACGAGGGCCGCGCAGGCGCCGCGACGGGCAGGACGGGGCAGCCCCGGCGAGCGCCGCGAGTGTCCCCGGCTGCAGGAGCACGGCACAGCCAGACCGAGAGCGTCTGGGAACCCCCAAGGGCCCTGGCTGCTTTAGGGCTGTTTGCAGCTTGAGGAGGGGGAAGTTAACGCTGGGTAACAGCTCAAACGTGTTTCTCACTGATGCTGCAGTGTTCCGGATTTGATAGCACAAGCAAAACTATGTTCTATATTAATTAATAAGGAAATTCTTGAGTAAGAGGCTATAAAACAGATGCCATTTCCCTGCATAGTCTTTAAATCTTCTCCCTTTTCTTGGGCAATTATCTATTTATTATTTGTTCCAGCATTTTTACACAGATATGTTGAGACATAATCTGCACTGAGCCAAGATAACGTAGCAGGTTTAAGATTTAGCTCTTTATCTGATACTGCAACAGGAACATGTAGAGTATTTTCACTACTATTTAGAAAACTGCAAAAAACTCCATTCTGAAAATACTCCAACTTTTTAAATGACCGGTGTGAGGGTCATATTTCTTAGTCTGTCAGTAATGTCAAATGGCCAGTATTTTTTCCCAATATTTAGCTAAAATTTTGATCGGCGATGAGATTTTTGCGTGTTGATGCTTTGGCTGGTGCAGGTGTCTGCAGCTTCCAAGTTCAAAGCCTTTCAAAGTTGGTGTTTTCATGGGACTGCCCGCCCAGCCTTACCCGGCGTGGTGTGAACGCCGTGTGATTAAAAATGAGGCGGAACAGCAAAGTGCTGCTTTTAATTTATCACTTAGTGCTAGGAAAAGGCTTGTTTTCTTCTTTTTCATCTGCTACTGCTCCTAAGACTTTCAGCCATTATTTTGAAATGTATTTTATAATAAAACCTCCATGGTTATGTTGCCTAGGGCCACAGTGTCCATTCTCAAGCAAGGAAGTATTTTGAAGCTTAAAAAAATACTGTGTTGACTGATTACCTTTCAGCCTTTTAGTCAGATGCCGCTGCCTTCAAATCTAGTTATTACCGCAGAGATCAAAAATAATGTCGTGATCCTCAGGATTGCAAGGGGTCCGCAGCTCTTTGGAATTTTACGCACTCTGCGGTTTTTGCTCTGCTCGAAGCCGTTGCTGTGGCTGTGGGCGCCGGCGGGCAGGAGGAGCCTCTCGGGCTGCGGCTGCCACCACGAGACCTCAGGTTAATTCTCCTCCATGTCAAGAGCATTTGGCCTTAGACACAGCGGATACAGTCACATTTCATTGCAAAGTCAGGCTTCAAAACCTGTTTGCCCAGGTGCTTGCTCAGTTGTCCTCGGCAGAACAACCTCGGGCAACTCTGTCTTTATAGCGCAAATAAACTGAAATAAACTCTCGCAGCCCCACACTAAGGGCTCCCCGGAGCCCCGCGGCCCCGTCCTCGCGGCCGCCGCTGACCCTCCGACCACGACGCGTCCCGGAGACAGCCCTGGGCGCAGGGCCGCTCTGCTCTGGGGCCGAAGGGACGAGGAGAATTCAGCGAGGTCACTCCGGCTGGGCTAAGATATCCCTAGCAGAGGAGCTGGGACTCCCCTGTCAGCCCAGCACCCCCAAAGACTCCATTAAACTCCTGTCCTTCGTACATACCAATGTGAAAATACCAAGAATATGTGTCTCATTCCCCAGGGACAAACAGATATCTTCATGAGGGCTAAGTGAGATCTACTGCAAGCAAAATCACAGTGATACAGACACGTTACAGAAGGAAAATCTAATTGAATGCAGCCTGTGCAGCATAGGTTGCTTTTTCAAGGTTACATCCAGGGAGGGCACCCAAAGCAAGTGTCTTCTGACATAAGGAACGTTGCTAATTATCATATGCCACAGATGGTTAATGCCTGGGATTATTTTCACAAGCTTTGCTTGACTTTTCTGGGCATCTGCAAAGAAGGTTGAGGGGCAAGTGTGGAACAAGATGTGACTTTTCAGATGTGAGAAGACATAAGAGGTGAAACGTGGGTGAACGCATCCTGGGTCTGCAGAGACAACGCGCAGGAGGTTGCTTCCAGCTGTGTAAGCTGCATTTGTGTCGCTATCACACAGGAAGACTTCAGGTTGCTTCAATTACCATCCTTGCCATTGAAGCCAAGGGCTCTGTCTTCAAACAAAGAAGTGGAGCAGTGAGTAGCCGTGAGCCCTGCCTGTCTGCTGTGCTCGTGCAGCACTGGGCACCTCTGCCCAGCGATGCCCAGCCCAGGGAGCCCCGTGCGAGCGCTCAGAGAGCGTCAGGGATCCCCCGGCACGCAGAACCACGGCGCTGCACGTTTGAGCATTGAGATTTTGGAAATCTGCAGTTACTTTTGAAGATGGGCATTGAATTTCATCATCTGCTGCTTTTTTATTCCTGTGCACTAGAATAATAATGTTTACTCAGCTTTTAAAAAATACGCTTTACCAGCCTAGCTGGAGGAAGCCAGTACGTGTGAAGTGTTGTTCTGTTGAGTTTTGCCATCTTGTTTCTGCAGGTATTTACGGGGACTAGCAGCAGCGTTTGCTAAGTTCATGTGTAAGTGCCAGTAAAGCAGCTAAGGAAGCGATGGACTTGAAAAGCACCGTGTGTCGGAACACTGCTTTGGCCAGAAGCCTTTCCTTACAGTGTGCCCAGGACTGGACGTAGGGATAGAGCCGATGAGGGCTGCGTTGGCAGGGTCATGCCGGGCACCAGGAACGCTGCACTGGGGCTAATGTGACTGGTGAGCGAGGGCAGCGTTCCGGCCCCGTGAGAAGCGCTGCCCTCCTGCCTTTAGCAGGAGCTGTCAGTGTGGCACTTCCAAAACAGGAACTTTGCACTGGCTGCATCTGGGACATGGCAGAAGCCTCATTCAGCTGCACTCACTGTCACATTTTCCAAGAGCCTCAGGATGGGGAAGATAATTGTCCCCTCGCCCCCAGACAAGTCTATTTGCCCCTCGCATTGGTCACTTTGTGGCTGTTCAGCTGGAGTCTCTCTCTTTTTCTCTCGTTTAAAGAGTACAAAGAGGCAGATCAGGCTGCT